AAAACTCACATGTACAACATGAAAAACATACAAAGACACAACAATATGTCCAGAAAGGCTAAACACAAGCCAGGATCGAAGAAACGAGAAAACAAATGCATCGTAATGTTTGACGACAAAGACAGACAGTAAGTTATCGACTGTCGCCGCCGTTAACAGCCGCTAGCCTCTTAGCATCCTTGGCTAGAAAAACATCAGGTTAGTTAGCATTAACTTTAGACCAGATATTTTTATTTATTAAACGTATATGTTTTGTAACGTATAGGTTGGACTGTGTTGCGTGTAGCTAATTTTATGACAGTCTAAACCAAAGAAGTGCAAATATTTAAACATAAGCTGTTTTATTAGTTTGTAGTTCCATTTAAATCTCCGTGTAATCTCCCTTATACTAATAATGGGCGGGCGACGCCTTACGAATCGTTTTTCTTTCTGTTTGTCCCATAAAATACTGAACGCTTCAGACAAGACAAAACACGGCGACCTCTGATTTGTAAAAGCTGCATCAGCCTTTCAAAACTGGACCAAGACGCTGCAGCGCCTCAATGATTTGGACAGTTTGTCTCATATGTGACAATAAGAGCCCAAGAACCATGTGTGTTAATATTATTTGTTATACTTATGTTCATAGTGCTGTAATAAATGTAGGTGTTGCTTTGCATTAAGTTAGAATAAAATAAGAGAAGCCTAGATATAAACATTTTGGCACAAGTTACTTGGTGTTGTTCAGAAGCTTCTGACATCATCAGTTGTGGTTCATTTGGCACAAAGTTCGCTTTCTTCAGTTTCTTACATCTTCTGTACCTTGAGTGTGTAACATGCTTGGCCAAATAAAGGTGATTATTATTATTATGTCTTTGTCTCCTGCCCTGTCAGAGAGTATCTCACCGGTTTCCATAAGCGAAAGGTGGAAAGGAGAAAAGCAGCAGTGGCAGAAATTCAAAAGAAAATCAAGGAAGAGAAGATTCGAGTCCGGGAGGAGGTAAGTTCAATAAAGAGTGGAGAGCTGTGCGAGCATTTGAGGAGAGGATACCCTGATGTTACGTCTCATTTCAGAGGCACAAAGAGTACATGAAGATGTTGAAGGAGAGGAACGAAGCTCTGGGTGAGTTAAAAGCAAAAGTCAGTCTCTGGTCATTTTACTGATGTGTAACATTTGAGGATATTTCTTGTTTCCTCGCTTGATCCCATCTGATAGTCGATGCTGAAGATGATCTGGAAGATGCCATCATGTGTACCACAGAGTCTGTACAGTACGATCACCCCAACCACACCGTCACCGTGACAACCATCAGTGATCTTGACCTGACAGGGGCTCACCTGCTCGGACCCGCAGCAAATCAGGTCAGCAGCTAAGCTGCGGTTCGTCGTAGCCTACGTGTGTTTCACTGCATAGTCACAGTGACAGAAGTCAGTGAATGACACCGCTGAAATGAAAGTGTATTTGCCTTCAAGGCTAATGGGGAGAAGGAAGATGAAGAAAAGAGAAATGAAGAGGAGGAGAAAACAAGTGCAATGCCAAGAACATCGAGGAATCCAATCACGAACAAAAAGTAAGTGGGTCATCACACGGGGTTGTACAAAGTAGTATCAGTGTGAGTGGTTAGTTTTTCTTTTCATAAATTGAGCGTTTGTGCTTTTTGTCACCAGTTTCTGTTTTGTTCTTGTCATTATTTTTGACTTTTTATAAGCTAGATGTTGGTTCAAATAAACATACAACCACCATAACTGGCTGGTGACATCACGGCTGTCTTCAGATGTTGGTTCGGTTTGTCCACCTGTCGTCGTCCAGCCCCTGTCACTCCAGCTGTCTTTTCCTGTCTCTCTTCCCTGCTGCTGCAGGATCCGCTCTCTTACAGCGTCGCTCAGCACCTGCACCAGCAAGCGCAGGAAGAACAGGAAGCAGGATAGACGAGGAGGACAAGGCCGTCCCACAGACAAGAGACTTCGTGGCTCAGAGAGTAAAAAGAGAGCAGGGAGGACAAGCAAGTGGCAGAGACGTCGACAGACTGGGAAGAGGGAGCATCATCAAGACTGAGAAAGTGTGTGTAAAGATATAATGCAGGGTTCGGCCTCCCACAGGAGCCAAAACTGGAATGTTTGTGCTCCTGTGTTTGCGCAGGACTTGTTGAAATGTGTGTAAAATGTACACGAGCTCCTCTGTGTTGAACTGTCTGATGTGACAGTGTTTCCAAAGAACCTGCCTCCTGAAACCTCCTGCCCACATTTGTACTTTGTCAGTTTTGTAGTGTGATTTCATATCCCCACTGTGCTGTATTTACCTACATTTTGATTAAAGGAAAGATGAGTCTTGCTAATAAGTCAAATCGTGTCGCGGTCATAATGTTAGTGTTGGCGTGCGCTGTGGAATTTTGTCCCTCTGCTCTATTGTTTAATAGGAAACCTGACGTTGTCAACATCCTCTGTGGAACATCAGGAAATCAACCCTCAGCTGTGTTTCCTCAGAGCTCGCTGTTACCTTGTGATCTGAAGGAGCACCAGCCAGTGCTTCTTTAGAGCATCCTATTTGTTGTTAATATGAAGAACCTTATACCACACAGCCACTGGTTCTAGTGTATGTAACCCCCCCGCCTCACCAGTGTTTACTCATTTACATTCACGTGTGCCAGCTGTCACTTTCTGAAGCCCATGATATTTAATACAAGTGCTCAACAGAGGAGCCAACCGGCCACTGGCTCCATGTTGGCTACAGGTCAGCGTGCGCTCCAGGGTCTCTGCTGTGCCAACTGAGAGCCATCATGGCCGTCGTGCATGGTTCAGTTTCACCCTTTGTCACAGCAGCCAATCGGATTGATTTTAGTGTTTGGCCAGAGCATGAAGAAGAGGAGAAAAGTGCCTGGTGGGGGTCTGAAGGGCAGGTTCCAGAGCTGAAGGCAGGTGCTTCTCTTGGCAGGTAACGCTCATCAGTTTGCTTAGTTTCCTTTTTACTGTGCAAACAGGCTAATTCACCTTTATTGTTAGAGGCAGTGTACTTGTTAAATGCATGTGCCCTGTGGTTGGTAGTAGAGCTGCTCTGCAGGGAGCTCAGACATCACTCTCACTGGATTGTGTTTCACTGTCCTGTAGTGTGAGTAGTTTTCACCTACCTTAACAGTTCTGCTGTGGATGTAGCATGAATCGTTACGTAAAAGAACATGTTTAGTGCTCATTCTGAGCCAGAGCTGTGTGTTTACTCTTGTCTGCAGTGATGCAGGGCCACAAATAAGGTTTTTTTTTTATATTTAAGAATAATAGTCTTATGTCATTTCATTTTAAACTTGATTGCAGAAGCTGCTTTGCAAGTTTTAGGAACATTTCATAAGTGATCATGTCTCTGCGTCAGCACCCAGCACTGCTGTACTTTGAGTGATTTCATAAGTTTAGTTATTTATTAGTTTGTTTCACAGTAGAGTTTATTGATTCTGCTGCTTCACACCCTGTTGTTTCATAGACCTCTCTGTGGGATGCGATGAGCGGGCAGGTTTCACCTCTAGACCCAACATGCACCACTCCACCAATGAGCCCATCTGCCCCAAGTTCCAGCCCAACATCTTCGACCCGTCCCGCTGCCATGACTGCCTGCGCCAGAGGCACCTGCATGCCGGCGCAGGGGAGAGCACTGGGGCAGCACCACAACACAAATCCACAGCAGGCACTGGAACCAGGGGTGGTTCAAGCAAAGGAGTGTTATTAACACCAGTTCTGTCCCAGGCTGAGGAAAGAGACACCAGCAGCAAGGTAAGAAAGAAGAGAAGTCAGAGAGATGGAGGGAAAGGAACAGAGCAGCTGGGAAGACGTGGAGATGATGAGAAGCCAATGTGCTGAGTGATGGGATTAGCTGGACCTGGGGGTAGACGGGAAGAGAGCATCAGAGGTCACAGGTCAGCAAGACGCAGAGGAAACGATGAGATACTGCTGCATTGATCCACACACATTTAACTGTCTTGCAGATCAAAAATCAATTTTTCTTAAAACATTTCGTCACTGTTTCTGTGGGTGAGTAAACAATCACAAAGGCCACATCTAAACAGTGAGGTCATGTCTGAGGCTTTGTTGCTTGTGATTAAATTAAGAAAAGGTCAGCGATGGAGAATGGGCGGGAACAGGGAGGAGCGGGGTGGTAGCAGCGGCTCCCATTAGAAATTAATGAAGCTGGATCACTTACTGCTCTTGGGAATCGCTTGTAACTGTAGACGGGGAAGACGGGCATGGTCCTGCACAGTATCAAACCCAGGACAACTCTTCATTTTTGGCTTTATTCTGTCTTTGACATAACTGTGGTGGTTTGGTAAAATCATAATGAAGCATGAGTTGTACCGCTCTAGTAACCTGCCACTAATTTCCAGGAACTTGTCGGGATCAGACTCAATTTGTCACATTTGCAGACGGATTTCTTAAGACAGACTTTTTTAAGCAAAGGGTTTATGGCAAGACAACCAATGTGATGAAATATGAATGAGGACAACCACAAGCCAGGTCGGGTTTCAGAGGTGTAACCCTAATCGAACAGCAGACTGAACATGCGAGTGTGAGTCAGAGGAGACAGATGCTGATCAGGCAACCCTGGGGCCAGGCCGCCACATCTAGGACTGATGTGTGTGAACGCTCCTCTGGTGTGAAGTCGCTGTGGCTTTACAGTGAAACGACAAACTGCTCCTGTCAGAGCAGTGTCAGTGCCTTCGTGACCTGGAGAACAAAGCGATTACTGCTCTGTTGTGATTGGCCCTTGTTTTATCTTGTCGTCCTGTCAGGATGATTCTGATGGTTTGTCTGTGGTGAGCAGCTACTGTGATGTCAGCGGAGGCCGGCGGGGGTTCGGGGAGAGCTCTCTGTGCATCCTGAGCCCCGACTGTGAGCTTTACATCTGCGACGGCGACGACAGCACAGACAGGTAAGGACACTGTGACCAGAAGTCATGTAGCAGAGCTAAGAGGCTCCCTGTAGACTTGTAATTTTAGAAATATACTGAGCTAGTTTATCATTACAAGTACTGTGTAATTATTGTAAAACACTGGTGTGTACTGCCTGTGTTCCCAAACTCAAAACTGTCATGTTGTGTGATGGAACTGTGTAGCTTCTCTAAGAAATTCATGTTGTACACAGTGGTGGAAAGTAATTAAATACATTTAGTACTGAAGTACAATTTGAGGTATTTGTATTATATGTATCCACGTCCTGCTACTTCATGTGACTTCACTCCATGTCGGAGACAAACCGTGTACTTTTTACTGCACCATGTTGCTTAAAGTAAAAGTACCAAAGTATCAGCCTCCAAATCTACCTGAAGTACCATCACCAGCAGTACCAGTACCCGTCCTCCAGAATGGTCCGTGTCCCAGTAACGTCTCTGATACTGGATCATAGTGACTAATTACTGTGTCCATCACTTTAATGCTGCAGCTGGTAAAGGTGGAGCTGATGGTAACTACCTTATATACTTATACTGGGAAGTACTTTCCATCCTGCTGGGTAGCTGGTGGATTTCCTACTGGGATCAATAGAGTCTGATGGTTCTACTGGGTTTGGTTTGATTCATCTGATTCTGGGCCTGAAGTTATCAGGTACATGTAGTGCAGTAAAAAGTACACGTATGAAGTAACAGAAAATGGAAATGCTTGAGTTAAGTACAAATACCTTAAAATTGTACTTGTGTACAATACTTAAATAAAAGGACTCAGTTACTGATTTTTTTGTTCTTACCTTTCTTCCCTCCTCTTCGTCCACACAGCTGTCGTGACCAGAGTGACAACCAAGAGTTCAGCAGCTCCGTCAGCGCAGAGGACGATTACCTGCCGATCCATCGTCGTTCAACCAAACTCGGCATGACCCGGCTTGACCCTCCACCCCACCGGCCCAACACTCGGGCCTGGATGAACGAAGCCGGGGGCAGAGACGGCTTCAGCAGGCGATCAGGTACATGAATGCTGACCTAGCATATTGTTAAGTTTGTCCATGTTTTTTTTATTTCTCAGTACAAAGGCTACATTAGAAACAGCCGTAAAAGATTCCCAGCTTAGTAGGAGCATCGTAACATGGTGGAAAAGCAGCATCCAGTGTCTTTTTTGAACACGTTGCTCAGTAGGATCCTGGTTACCAGTAGACTGAACCTTCAGTAAACCTCAGTGCACTTGATTAATCCGTATCCGGTTACAGCCAAAGGTGTTCGTTACTTGGCCAAACCGTTTGATGTCACCAGCCGAGGTGTCCCAGGACAAGTATCAACAGTACAAAATAGCTCAGTTTGTGTCAGGAAACCTCTGCTGGTTGAACTTTGTGTGCGTCTCATTTCTGTTTCCCCACCTGCTGACTTCTGTTTGCTCCCAGGGTTAAAAGAAGACAGAGAGAAGCGTGAAAGTGGCTACTTCTCCCTGGGGAAGGTTTCGGGGGCCCGTTCACTCCGAGATAGCAGCCCGCCTGCTCCTTACCGCCACTTTGAGAGAGGACACCCCATTTTCAGCAACAGAAACATTGAGCCCAAAGACACTATCCCCTTCAGAAACCCAAATCTTGGTATGGCCTCTGAAAGGCAGTTACAAGAGGATCTAACTGAGGACCTCCCTGTGGAAATCCCTCCTCCTGACCCCATTGAAATTGCCATTGAAGTTGAGGCACAAGTTGGCCCTCGCTCTCCAAGTCCAACTCCTTTTAAGATAGCGGAATCACTTGCCTCAACTGGACGAAAAGGTGCCAGCAGCTCACTTGGCCGAGGAAACTCTTCTTCCTATCAACAGTCAGGGCGTTTTGATTCCTCAAGGCAAGCGGAATCATTTGCCTCAACTGGACGAAAAGGTGCCAGCAGCTCACTTGGCCGAGGAAACTCTTCTTCCTATCAACAGTCAGGGCGTTTTGATTCCTCAAGGCAAGCGGAATCATTTGCCTCAACTGGACGAAAAGGTGCCAGCAGCTCACTTGGCCGAGGAAACTCTTCTTCCTATCAACAGTCAGGGCGTTTTGATTCCTCAAGGCAAAGCTCAGCTCTGCAGTCCCGCACCTCTTCTCCCTCACGTGGGAACTTACCATTCAGACGCAGCGAGTCCATTGCCTCCCTCAGCAGGCATAACTTGGGTGGTGGTGGGCGGTCTCAAGGGACAGAGCTAGGGTCCATAAGCTCCTTGCAAAGCACACATGCCCAACGTGTTGAGTCAGGAAGTCTGCCAAGAAACTTCAGATCGTTCGCTGGTTCATTCAAATCCCAGTCCAGCACCGCTTCTGATTTTAGGAATACCTTAAGGAAAACTGAAGTAAATGGACTGTTAAGTAGTCGGGGTCATGACAGCAGAAGCTCCTCTCCCTCAAGGAGGAACTATAACCGTCAAGGCCAAATGTCTCTACACAAAACTGAAATCGGCTCCACTTCACCTCCTGGACATGGGCTCAATGCTCGTAGTTCCTCTCCATCTAGGAGAACTTCTGACAGTCGCAGTTTTTCACCGCCAATGAGAAATTACAACTCGTCTAGCCAATTTCCCCTTTGTAAATCTGAATCAGTCGTGTCGCTGAACAGAGGTAGCCAACATGGGCGCTGTGGCTCCCCTATCCGAGAGGGCTATGATGTTGAAAGCCAAGCTCTGCTGCGAAATTCCACAGCAAGGAATGGACTCGGCAATGAAGAACATGAGAGCCCCATCATGTCTCCACCCAGACGAGGCTATGGCACACCACGTCAGTCCATCCTCCGTAAGACTGAATCAAGCCCTGTTGATAGAAGTCAAGGTCATGACAGCCGTTGTTCCTCCCCTGGAAGGAGAGGCCGCGAAACCCCTAGTCAGTATCAGCTTAGGAAAACAGACACCAGCAGTTCGTTAAGTGGCCGTACTCATGACAGTCGTAACTCCTCCCCTTCAAGGAGAAGCTATGAAGCTCCTTCTCAGTCTCTGCTGCGCAAATCTGAAGTAAACAGTTCTCTCAGAAGTCGAGACAATCACACTTTGTTGCCTTCAAAGAAAAACTATTATGTACCTGACCAGAGCTCACTGCGGAAAACAGAGACAAGCAGCTCCCTAAACGGCAGGAATCAGACCAGCCGCAACTCTTCTCCCTCTAGAAAAGGTAACAGTGACCCACCGGGCTTCTCAGTCCTCAGAAGTGCCACAGGTGGAAACTCGGCCCATTCCTTTCAGAGAAGAAACACCTATAATGACTCAAAACCTGACCCTAAACACTCAGCACACTCTTGGCGGGAATCAACCCATTCCCTCCGCAGCACTTCCTGTTCTCGTGCTTCTTCGCCCTTTAGACAAACCACAAATGGTAGCAGGACAGCATTCGTCACTGTGGAAGCACCCAGGAGCCCCAGCAGCATCAGATCTGGGGCTGGGAGACATGTGCTCGAGGATCGCTGCCCCTCTCCTAATGACAAGAGTTCCTCCCACCGTGCACGAAGCCCTTCTTCTTCACCTCGGGTTCAAATGAGGAGGGACACCTCCTCCCTGAGCTCCATGGAGTCCTTAGAGTCGGGTCAGCTGTCGGTGGGGCCCACAGGACGGCGCAGGGAGGAGTACGCTACAATGGCTGACCTGCCAACGGTCAAAAGGATCTATCAGAGGGAAGAGCCGGGCCAGCAGTTCTCTCAGAGACAGGAACTCTTCAAACCGGCCAGGTCAGACTTAAATTACACTGCAAATACTGGAAGGAGTAGCGTCAACATGTTGCTGAAGCACTATAGAATGTACATTTGGTAACGTAACACTTTGAGATAGGTTTGTATTTTTATGGTATTTAGTGCAGTAGACCTCATACTCCTGGAGGTAAATCTAGGCAGCTTTACTCTTTCCATCAGTTTGGACAAATCTGACCAAATCAGACTTACTAACCTGTTGGTGCTGTTCCAGCCACTCCCTGAGCAAACAGCCCTCCAGAGAGTGGGAGAACACCGAGAGAGAGTGGCACTACGCTGGCAGTGGGTATCTGTCCCGAGCTCACTCCTCCACCTCGCTGCAGGTAGGCCGGCTAGTGATGCCGCTCTTAAAATCCATGTGTTATTGGAGTGCTTTTGGAAAATGTTAAACAAATCTGGCAAAATAATTGCATTTAGTAAAACAGTTAATACACTGGATTTGTGAGCTCAAAGCACACAGACACAGGACTGAGAACAGAGTGAACAGCAACAGTATAGACGGGGCTGGGACCTGGATATTAAACCCATACAGAAGTTTGTGCCCTGCATTAAGCGCCTTTTACTGTGGTAAAATAATCTGTTACAGTAGTACAGCTGCTCTCTGTGGTTTCCACCTGCCTAGTAGGTTAATGTTTAACCACATCTTCCATATACTGTACACCAGACTGGAAAAGGTCTGTGGATGTGAAACTCTGGTTTCTGTATCAGACACAGATTCTCCTCATAATGACAAGCTGTTCCTTTTCAGAGGTCTGACAGTCCCACAGCAGATGAGGGCAGGTCTCGGAAAGGTAATTACTACAGACCAGAACAAATGCAGGTATGTGATCGAGCCAGTCTGGATGCTGTAAATGTGTGTGTGTGTGTGTGTGTGTGTGTGGATACATTTTTATATTCCCTAATATAATACAAGATCATAAACCTGCAGCACACATGGCTGAAGGCTAGTTTATTGCAGTTTGCTCTGTTTCAATAGAAGTGGTCTTTCTGTTACATATTTACTAGATGCTGTATATTGGCAGTTTGTCTATAGCTGCTACTGCACTTGGCACCCTTATCTGCTAGAATATCTATATTTACACTGTAAGCCTTTTTAAATTCTGTTTTATCAGCTGACTGCACGGTGTCTGTGGACTTCACCTACACCCTCCAGGCATTTCATAAGACTGACTGAGCTTTGACAATTGTGGTCTGCTGGGGCATGTGTTGAAATTCCTGAACTGAAACCAATAGCTGCCAAGAGAGGATTTTGGAGGGGGGGCTGTTGGGATAATCAGTGAGGAAAACACAGCAAATAAATACGTTCTGTATGGCTAGAAAGTATGTCATAGTAAAACTTTTTCACGTCAATGCGCCACAAGATATTTGAGAATTTTGGTCCCAGGAAAAGTGAAGGAGTGATACCTCTTATTGAACAAGATTTTAACATTTTCATGCTCTTAATGCTTTTCTGGGTGTAATTAAAAAGCACTAAATATTTGTAATGCGGCTGGGGACCCCACCTAATCCCCTTAAGCCCCTGCTGGTCCTCGGCCCCCGGGTTTAGCGCCAGCACCGTGCGGTTAGGTAGGCTTGTTTTCTCAGACGGTCCTGGCGGAGCCAACCAGGAAGTGGCAGACGGGGCAGTGCGAGCGAGCGGAGCTAGAAGTGGCATTAGCTTCAAGTCTCAGAAAGTTGAGGAAATACAACCTTTCGACAGTTTATCCAAGTTTATTCGGGTGAAACTTTACACCTTAGCCTGGCTAAAGACTCTGCTCTGGTTCGCTTGATTAGCTAAGTTAACATGGCTGTGAATGGCGGGGTTTTGCTAATTTCGCGTAACGCCAGTGCTCTGCAAGAAACTAAAGGAAAGTAAAGTTTTGTCCGATACTTTTAGCGTTAGCAGGGTAATAAGCTTAAGGCAAGAAGAGCTTTGTTTTCGCGAGTTAACTGCACTTTCTGTTGTCTTTCTTTTACCCTCCGGATCCTGTTACCATGACGGTAAGTAAAGCAGCCACGTCTTCCTGAATTTGGTGTTTTTGAAATGGAATCTGGCGCAGCACAGGAGCTAGCCACACGTGTGTGGTCGAAATGTTTCATTTTTAATAAGGTTGGATTGCATAGCTAGTTTTAATAGACCCTTCTTGTCAGTGTTTGATTTCAGGGACGTGTCTACCTCAAATGGGTAGCTAGCTTAAAACGGAATCATTATTTTTCTTCTTCTTCTTCTGAATCTAAGTTCATACTTTGTGTTTTTCGTGCTTCTGTGACAGCGCTGAACAATCCATCGTGGTTTCCATGCGTGGTGTAGCTTCACGTGTGTGCCCTGTGTTGTTTACAGTGGCAGGAAGTGTCATTAGCTTCACCCAATAGTCAGTTTATTAGGGACACGGGCTGAGGTGATTGTGTTCACGGTGTCTCCCAGAGGTGTGATCACTGTGGGGGCTGGAGTTTGTGCTGAGGTTTACTGACAAGCCTAGTCTCACTGATCATCCAAGGGGCGGACAAAGTGAGAACTAGCTGTCAGTATGATCCAACAGTGATGGAAGAAGTACTCAGATTCTTCACTTCAGTGAAAGTAGCAGTACCACAGTGTCACAATACTTTGGTACAAGTAAAAGTCCTGTGTTCAAAATGTTAAACCTGTTGTACGACTACAAAAGCATTGGTAGCCAAAAATACCTGAAGTAGCAACAGTAACAATGTCTCTGATACTGGATCATAGTGACTAATTACTGTGTCCATCACTTTAATGCTGCAGCTGGTAAAGGTGGAGCTGATGGTAACTACCTTATATACTTATACTGGGAAGTACTTTCCATCCTGCTGGGTAGCTGGTGGATTTCCTACTGGGATCAATAGAGTCTGATGGTTCTACTGGGTTTGATTCATCTGATTCTGGGCCTGAAGTTATCAGGTACATGTAGTGTAGTAAAAAGTACACGGTTTGTCTCTGACATGGAGTCACAGGATGAAGGAGCAGGACGTGGAAGTACTTAAATGTACTTTTTGCTAATTTGACACAGCACACACTCCAGCCTCCACAGTGACCACACAGGTGAATCAACACTGAGCTAGGTGTACCAGCGAACTGTCCACTGAGTGTATGCATCAGGTGCTACAGCTGCTGTGACACATGTTCAGTGTTTGCCCACAGAACAAGGAAGTTTGCCATACATATTTTAACAGCCCTGCAGGACAAGGCGAAGCTCTGTAGACACTGTGCCTCTGTCTCAAACCAGCACCACAGTTTGACCCTCTTCCTTCTGTCTCTGACATTTCCCACAAGGCCACTGATCTGAGAGCACATGACGAGGAGGAGCACTGTTGCATTAGGGCATTTCAGACCAGATGCTTACAGGCATACATGAATTTCTGATGAGGTGTGACTCAGCAGTTTATTCTCATAGAAAGTTTCTGTACGGGCAGAAAAGGACAGAAAAACACAGTCACAGGCGATTCATCTTTTTAGTCATGATCATCTTCCAAAAAGCGGATGTCAGCAGTTTTCTGTTGTGTTTACAGCCATCACCTGATGATGCAGCCATGGGTTTGGACTGAGGGCAGATATTAAAAATCCTCAGGTGTCTTAAAACAATGCCACGTTATTTATTGATGAAGAGGTGAGATTGAAGTGGACCCGAAGGCTTGGACAGTTTTGCTGTACTCACAGTCTATTGGCTTCCATCTGAACAATTGTTAGATTAAAGAGGATCAGCAGCAAAGATGAGAAACTGGGTTGTACTGTGGCTTCACAAGAACACAGCTAAAGACGGGGTGAGTATAAATGCAGAAGAGGGGTGGTTAGAGATGACAGAAGTGATAGATTGTTAGAAAGCAGAAGAACACACAGTAGAGAGGGGGTAAAAGAGTGAGCAGTCACGATGGGAGAAGAGGCGGCAAGCGCAGAAAGAAGTTTTAAAGTGAGGAGTGTACATGCTCAGAGAGAAGCAAAGTCAGGAATGTTTGTCGGAAAACGTTGCCTACTCTTAATCTGGGATCACCACATCTCCAAGTCCACGTTTTCCTCTTCTGTCATCGTGTCAGAATAAAAACATGCCTGTTCCTGGAAACGTGTCGAGCAGCTGAAGCATGTTTGAATAGATCTCCTGCTGCCACAGACGACTGTTTCACAGCCTGCGGCCGAGCTGCGCTATGAACCAGTCGCTTTAGACACTGGTGCCATTTTCTTCAGTTTCACTAAGGATGTGCTGCTCCAGCTCCACATCTGTCTGTCGTCCTCGTATAGTTTTGTCTTCATCCTCTGCAGACACGCTTGTTTTCACACCTCATATGCATCGTTCTGTGCAAACATTCGTCATGTGTCTGCCATGCTGCAGTGCAACAGAGAAGCGCCCTGTGTGAAACATTGTACGGATCATCACAACATACAAGATCATCATGTTGGAAATCTGGAGCAACACTGAACTTACCAAGTGGATAATAGAGAGCAGTGGCTGGTTAATGATCCAAATGTATTGACGTGTTCCAAAAATAGCTTTAAAACGTGTATACACAGAAACCCGTGCAAGCAGCAGCACTGACCCGACTGGTTCCAACACACATTAAAGAAAGTTTCTCCACAATAGAAACCAGTTTTTGTCCTTTGTGGCAAAATAAATCAGCAGCCTTGGATCTGTTGTGTTCAGTGATAAATTAATTGTGAGGAGATTACGCTGAGTAAGCACCACCCTTCCATGTGGCTTTGTCCTGTTGTTTTGCTGCTTACCTCTGCTCGCGTTTGCTCTTTTCTTTTCGTTTCCTGTGCACTTTGTTTCTATTCTCTCTTTTCACAGTAACGTCCTTTGAACAGTCACAGACGACAGAATTCCTTCATTCAGGTTTTGTAACATTTTGGCAAACATTCAAATGAAGGTCGGTGAACATGATGCTGTGTACTCTGTCCCGCAGCCCGACCTCCTGAACTTCAAAAAGGGCTGGATGTCGAAACTGGACGACAGTGGAGAGGTAAGGTACAAACTCAGAGCCGCTTTCCAGTCACAGGTCTTCTTCACTTCTTCACTCGTAAGGTCAAATATGGTGTGAAAGGCGATGGCGGCAGATGACTCTCACTATCACAGTAATAGCTCGGTGGCTTGAGTCACAACAAGTGTCTCCGCTCGACTGAGCGCACTTCTCCCATCACAGCATCATGTCCTCTGCTGTGTTTCAGACCAGATATTAATAATGCTCTGTATTCAGGTCCTAATAATTGAAACGGGGTTCACACAGAGGATAAAACGGGCAAATAAAGAAAGTTCAAGGAGAATAAAAAGGCTTTTATTTATTTATTTTTTATTTCCTGTGCTTCTGAATTTGTCAAGATCAGTGTGTGGTATCTGTTCTTATGGTGTCTTGTTGCTCTCTCTGTTGTTTTTGTCCCTTACTGCTGCTGGAACACTGGAATTTCCCACTGTGGGATCAGTAAAGTTCAACCTACCTTAAAAACTTTAACAGGTCACAGGAAGAAAATGTTTTAAAAGATGAGACAGACTGAGCTGATTTATTTTTGCCGCAAACGTTTGAACTCCTTTGTTTAGTCTAGACTTCGTGTTGTGTTTCTGGAACAGGAACTGAAAGCTCTGAGATGTCGCTCGGAGCCAGCCTGGTCCTGGCTTTAAAAGTAATAAGTAACATTTTAACATCTGATTATTACTAAATGGAAACCAGTGTAAAGATGAAAAAATTGGCACCTGTTGAACCCTGGCAGCTGCGTTCTTTTATTTGTTTGCCACAGGCAGTAAAACGTCTCGGTCTTTGAAATTCGCCTCAGCTGACAAACAGCTGAACTCATTTGACTCGAGGCTGATTTCTGCTATGTAATATGCAAGAACCAGGTTTGTCTGTAATTGTTGTAAGATATCTTGGATTTTGTCATTGTTGTTTTGATAGTTTTCATATGTGCACATAAGAGCTGCTTGGGTTAATGGATGTCTTATGTGTTTAGTGGAAGAAGCACTGGTTTGTTCTGACTGATGCTGGGCTGAAGTACTACAGAGACTCGAGTGCAGAGGAGGTAGGCTGTCATCTCTCTGTTGCATATATATTGGTGGTATGTGTTTAAAAAAACAAGCTTGCTGGACATTTCATACACAAGTACATGTGGGTGATAAAGAAGAAGCCTGTCATTAAATACCCTGTCACTTATAAAGGTGTAAGTGTTGTGAAACGGTTGCTGTTTTTTGTACAGAAAGATGACATGGACGGGGAGATTGACCTAAAATCCTGTGTGAAGGTGTCTGAGTTTGATGTGGAGAAGAACTATGGGTTTCAGATACAGGTCTGTGTCTTTCATACCACTTCTGTTATTGTGCTCACATCTCTGTCAGGATCTCCTCCCAACTTTCTCTCCTTCAGTTTTTTTTTTTTTTTTTTAAATAATTTCCATCACATCTGTGTGTCCTCTTAACCCGTTTCCTCTTTTGTTCTCCAGACGCGGGAGGCCGTGTTCACACTCTCTGCCATGACGGCCGGGATCAGGCGGAACTGGATAGAAGTCTTAAAGAAGTGTGTCCGGCCCAGCAGCTCTCCAGACCTCACACAGTAATGTCCGGTTCAATTGCTAAGCAGAAAAACTTTAAAGTCCCCATGGCTGCTCATTTTGTTTGCTTCCAGCTGTTTAATGTTTAAGCTTGGGTACCTCTAGATTATCTTGGCACCTCTCATAACTCCAAATAGTCTGTGATTATTTCAGAACAATAAAACCCAATATCACAAGGAGAGCCTCCTCCTGAAAACAAGAGGATAGTTCATGAACGTGCACAACTCCTAATGCTGGTGTTGTCACAAGTGGACAGCACAACGAACCATAACAGCATTAATTAATCTGAATGTCTCCTCCACAAATAGGTAAACATCAGTATATGTACCAATGAAAACAGATGTGTAACACTCTAAACAAAGCAGGTAACTGAGAAACCCCATATTTTAACTGGCATAATGCTGACATAGTAACTTCTCCAGCCTTACAATAATAATAATAATGTTACAGAAATGAGGTATTAACAGACACACAACATGTGTTTTTAAACTTACAGTTAAGCCCCACCGATTAGCGGAAACATCGCTCCCTTCCAAGTAGCTCCAAGGTCGGTAAAACGGGTGGTCACTGCGTCTTCCCCTACCCGACCACATACAGTCCCCAAACAAACCAAAAAGTAGCGTAGCAGCGACAATAACATCATGGTTTGTTAATCCGCTGGTTAACCAGCAACACATCACATGCAGCAGACACGCTGGACTCAAGCAGTCAGAACAAACAGGTACTGAGCTCTGGGGGAATCCAGCATTGATGAGCTGATCATTCACCGCTGTGGGGGGCTTCACAAGACTGGCTGCTTGTAGGTTAGACCTGATCAGGTGAAACAGGAACATTCCTGGACATGCAGTAACCTCAGGTCCTGTATTCTTCTCCACATCCTCTGGTCACAGTGCAGCAGCAGGAGGGAAAATATATCCACAAAACCAGGAGCAGTCGAAAAATTATGCTTTTACAATAGATGGATGTCAGGAAAGCTCACATGAACGTGCAACTGACTAGAGGTTATGACCATTCAAAGAAATCTGTAAACTATAAGACTTTACATAATTGGAAAAAAGTCACCAGCGATAGTTTGTAAGACGTGTATAAACTGAGTTGCTTCTGCTTTGAAGTACTAGAACATATGTACACCTCATTTTTAAAGCTTTTAGTCATGTTTTGATGGAAATTCATTGTAACATGATAAGTCAGGAAGCAGCATGGCATGGGCTCCTTAAGTCAGGATGTTACTTGGTTTTCTTGTGTTTCTTATAAGTGTTTGGGTTTTTGGTAACTTGCAGCTCCTTGCCCCAAAAAGCAGCATCTAAAGAGGACGTGTGCTTTTGAAGTGATTGCTTATTTAAATGGCTTGTTTCAGGCCTTGCTGCAGCTCAAATAACACAGTCAAAATGCTCTGTTACTTTCATGCGTCCCTAACTTTGCCCCCGACTTAGCTGCTGTGTACTTTGGCTGTTGCAGATGAATCAAAGTGTCTTTAATTGCTTGTGCATCGTTATACAGTATGTTGTGTTTTCATAACTCACCTGCAGCTGCATCTTGAGTGTTTATGTCAAGGCTTTGTTTGCTGTTGTTTACTTAGTTTGTGATTGTTCAGTTTTCTTTTCTTTTATTAAAATCAGATTTATGAGGCTGTCAGATAGTAAAAGAAGAAATAGCGCCCTGTTATATTAATTGTTATTATTTTTCTCTAGGTTACCCGACAGCAGCAGTGACAAAGAAAATTCCCACTCACGTTTCCCGACTTCTTCCCGTCACCCATCGTTACATCACAGCATCGTTCCTACAGAGGTTCTGACCTCTTCCCCTCCTGTTCAGCGTAGGTTTGATTACGTTGAACTGTCCCCTGTTCCCACTCCCGCTGGCTCCCTCCCAGCCAGTCAGAGAGAAGCAGGAGAAGGGCAGGGGAGCATGAGCAGGCAGTGGGAAGCTGTGCTGTCCAGGAAGGGCGCTGACGTAGGCTCGAACCAGAGTCTACGCATGGAGGAGGCAATAGAGAAGAAGTGGGCTGAGTTTGAACGCTTGCCGTTTAAGGAGATGAGCTCGGCGTCACCAGTAGGACCACGGTCCTCCAGCCCTTCAGCCAACGAGGCGCTGCAGAGGGAGGTAGTGCGTGGAGATGATTTTCCAATTTGCAAATTTAAATAAAATGCAAATTAACCCTTCATCGATTCAGATGAAGTCAACACTTCCTGTTTCTGACTTTTAACTCTTGAGTGCCTGTTTTCTAAGCAGCCCCTGCTCTTCAGCAGTGTTTCCCATCTAAAGTGATGTGCTGTGGGAAACTTGGGTGAAATGGGAAAGTGCTGAAACCTCTGTTTGTGGTGTTGTGCATCTTGGTTTGACTCTGTGTTTGTGGTCTGGTACTGAGGTGTGTACACATGATACTCAGGCTGAGCTGCAGTACAAGGCTAAACACTGATGTGTCATCATACAGTTCAATTCATGCTAAAGCCTGTTTGTCCTATTTGTTGTCATTACAGTACAAAGAAACTTTAAGCTTCTTTAGCCAGTCTGATTAGACGGGCTTGGAAAGGTCAGCAGTGAGAAGGGTTCAACTTCTAATAAAATTAACTTGTCAACCATCAACTATAATCCAATGGCTGCACGCTGCCCAGGGTGGTAGTGGAGTGAATGTTGGCATCAGTCTGAACCTGGTACAAGAGCTGCTCGTGCTTCTGCCAGTGATTGTGTGTAGCCCAGGTGTTGGCAGTGGAACGCTCCGTCAGAGTCACGCATTTGGCTGAAATGTTGATTTGTCTGTTTATAAATCAGTGGGCATGACTGAACCATCCCTGCTGCTGCTGGTTCAGTGAGTTGCACCTCAGAGTTGGGGATCGGAGCCGCCCACGTCTTCCACCGCCAACACCAGCCTTTGTACCACATCGTGTCATGCTAATCGCATTTAGCTTCTGTCCCCTGTCGCTCAGTGGGCTTTACCTCCGTCTTCATCTTTTCTCAGGTGGCGTCACTGAGGCAGCAGCTGGAGCAACTACGGGGAGGGGGAGGGCGAGGCGAAGGAGGTGTGCGGGGTGGCTGTGGCCCTGAGGCCCCCTGCGGCCGCAGCCTGGCAGCCATGGAGCGTGCTCACCGACATGCCCTAGAGGAGGTGCAGAGGCAGCACGAGCGCCAGATTAAGGAGCTTGAGGTGGAGAAGGACAGGCTGCTGCTGGAGGAGGCCCAGGACACTGCACGAGGTCAGCAGACAGCTCAAATAGGCCTCTGATTGTTCCAAGTAAAAGTAGTCATGATTTTCCTAATAAAATTGAATTGTAAGGGTAAATCCCAATTCCCTTAACTGATCGCTGCTCAATCCTCGCTTGTTGTTCCGGTCCACCATCTTGAAGGAGGTCCCAAAACTTATTCCTGCTCTGTGGAGCGAGGAGGCTGCTGGAGGAGCCATGAGCAGGGATACATGAGAGCATCTGTCGCAGGAGGCTTTTATGGAACTGAGATTTGTCCTCCCTTTTACTGCACTGGGCTGGGGTCAAAGGTCAAACAGTTTACTAGTACAAGACTAGGCTGTCACCTTTGTCCTTGGGTTATTTTTCATGTCAAACTACTCTGACTAAAAATCATATGCACATCTCGTTCGACCCTCGTTCCTCCTCATATCAGATTGATCGATCCAGTGTCTTTTGTCTAGGACCTTTTCTACAGGTTCATGCAATTCAAAGTGCTTTACAGCCGACAGACAAGCTGGTAAGACAGAAGAAATGTGAATGGGAAAAACAACTGGGAGACTGATGCACACAACAAGCTTTTATAAAATGAAACTCAATGAACGTAAAATTAAGAACAATAAAATAACACTTGAGGAATGTCAGACCGTCGTGCTGGAACAAGACCATGGAAGAGCTTTCAGAAAGTGTTTCTCCAACAGTGGCTTTTATCCAGTGGTATAAATAATATGTTTATAAGAAACATTCTGTACAGATCTTTTTATTTAGCAGTCAGAAAAACAACATTGTAATCAGGAGATCACGTAAAAGTTGTTGTTTGTGTTTCAGTGATGGAAGCTTTGAAGAAGAAACATAAGGAGGAGCTGGAGAGAGAAGTGGAGAAAGTCCACAGGCTAAACAGCGGGATGCTAGACTCACAGACGCTGCGAGCCCAGCGACAGTGAGTAACTTTAGATCTGGTTTTCCCGGTTTGGTGCAAAAGCACTACAGCCACCCAGATGCTTGGTGGCACAGGAAACCAGCTGGCAACACAATCAGCCAGCTCGATCTCTGCTAGCATGGCTCAGAATCCACCAGGAAAATGTTTTGCCAACTGTTTTTGAAGAAGAATATGTTGACTCTGGTTTCTTACACATGTTTGCATTACATGCACACAGAAGTACAAGCATGTACCCTGTCCTGTGTAAACCTTTAGTTCATATTGACTTGAAAATAAATTCTTGATTGCAGGACAACACTGGTCGTTTAGGCAGAAGAGTGGGAGCTAGTTGGCCACGAAAGGGAGAGTTTGCAGACTCAGTTCCTCATCTAAGTAAAGCCATTACCACAGTGGCCACCGAGTCCTGTTAGGCACTTAAGGGATGTAGAAGAACACAGCTGTGGATTAGTTTTCATCTGTAAGGCCTCTGAGGTTTAGGATTCATCTGTGCTGCCTGCTCTGCAGTATTTCACTCTGTGCATGCTCTTCCTTATTTTTGTGGTTATTGGTCATGAGCAGTAAAGATGTTTTAAACCACAGTAGGAAAAAGTTTCCTCATGAAAATGAAGAAACCACTGCATGATGGTTTCATTCACTGCAGTACATACTACATCATAACGTTATACTTTACAAGCACACAGTAAGTGCAGGGCAGAAACAGGAACTAGCATCCAATAGGAGAGTATAAGACATGGTCATCTCACCAGAGCAGTGCTGGGACAAGATCAGATCATTTGGAGCCACTGCATTGTAGTGATTTCTCCAGTTTAGTTGATTAAGGACCTGACGTGACCAGTCTGATGTGTTTCTGCAGGGCAGAAGCTCAGTCGCTGCAGAGAGAGCTGTCCAGCCTCTCGGAGCGTTACTCTCAGAAGTGTCTGGAGCTGAATCGAGCTGAGCAGAACAACGCTGAGAGAGAGAGGGAGATCAGCCGCAAAGAGAGAGACTTGGAGCAGCTGAGGAAAGAGAACCAGGTGAGTTATCAGCACACAAGTGATGTGCACAGGCTTTTCATCTTTAAGTTGAAATGAAATGTTGTTCACTGCTGCTCTGGCAGGTGTAATGCAGTGTGACAGTTTAATTGGCTGTGTAAGTATAAATGTCCTTGATTTGTAAACCATCAGTCCTTCACACCTGGACAGTAACACACTCACTCATGTTGGTGCTTTGCCAAACAAAGTGTTATGTTTGTTTTGATCCAGGTGTGGAGTTTGTGAGGCTGGTAATTTTCTGTAAATTGATGCCAACCACTATTCATCGTTCTTCACTCTGAAGAGAAAATGTTTTCCTCTGCAGGACTTAAAAGCCCGTTTGACAGAGGAGCTCAGTCGTGTGCGATCTTCCATCGAAGATCAGGGCTTGGACGACAGCAAAGACAAGACGCCCTGTGAACTAGAGGTAACAGCTGTTATGCTGGGTACTTGAAAGTGAATGAGGGGGTTATAACTTAGAGAACTGGCAGGCAAGTCTGCAAACTGCTGTCTCCACATTAGGACTGCTGCATTGGTTTCAAAGGTTGATTGTGTTTTTTTTGCAAGAATATGATTTAAAAGCAACGATAACTGGACAAACCTGATATCGGAGATGTTGCCTGAAAATGCAGATGAGTCTCTGACCCCTTCAGTAATGTGAGAACAGTGACTGTGAAGCAATTCAAACTGTGTGCTAGCTCAACTGGAATCTGCTGTAAGCAAGACACCTGCACAGATAGCTGATTTAACTGGTGCTTTGTTTATGCTTCAGTGTTGTAGTTTTCTGAATACAAAGGGAATGTAATGATCAGCTGAGCTGGACTTACAGAGAACTGGGTTTATCATCAGTTACTGTGTGTTTTAGCTGGAGGTGATAATTATAAGGCCTCAGGGTAACACAGAGAATCATGTTTCATTTTGGCAGTAAAAGAAAACCACACTGTTGTTTTCCTCCCAGGTTCTTCTCAGGGTGAAAGAAAACGAGATCGAGTATTTACACAAGGAGATCAGCTGTCTAAGGAACGAGCTGCAGTTTCTCAACACGGTACTGACACTGTGCTTTTAATTTAACTCTTCCTTTACCAGGTGAATCCCATTGAGTTTAACAGCCTCCTCAAGGGCAACCTGTGTGTGCATGTGTGTGTGCGCGTGCTTTGATCCATTTGTACTGCTTTACTGCATGTTTAGCACATGTAATGTTAGTCCGTCTGTGGTGAACTGAGCTGATTGGACAGGGTTTAGAAACACACACCTGTGTATACAAGGGCCCCACGGTTCCCGCTGCAGGTCGGCACGGAAACCAAAAAAGTACTGAATAGTTTCAATTTTGAATAAATTTGTCAAATTGTTTCGTTTTGTTATTCAGTGTAGTTTGATGAGCAAAAATGACAATTTTATCCATTTCAAATTAAATGTACAATAAAAGTGAAGTCTGGTTACTTCCTGAATTCGCTGTCCTTTTGTGATATGTTGGTGTGAGAACTGGCTGATGAGACACACGTCTGCCTGTGCTTCACAGGAGAAAAGGCTGGCCTGCGAACGATACACGGAGGTGCATGAGGAGCTGAGTGGGATAAAGGGCCGGAACGAGCGAGAGATCCACAGTCTAAAGGAACATCTGAGGCTGGCCATGGCTGCTCTGCAGGAGGGGCAGAAGCTGGGCAACAGCCTGGACCACTGAGAGCCCGCCGCCGCTATTAATGCTGTGGCAGGCGCAGCGCCAGGGGGGGGGGGGGGTGGATGATGGTCTGCAGAGTCACACTGATGCCGCTAACATCACTGTGCCTGTAGAGACAGGGATCTTTTGAAATTTGACTTGTTTTGTAAATTCATCTGGGTATTTTTGTTTCCTGTTTTGCAGGTGCATCTGCACCGTGGTGACTGAAAGAGGGATGCAGGAGATGGGTGTTCCAGCTCTGTGGGGACCATGAACAGTGCCTTAATTTTCAATCATTCTGCCAATGAACAGCAGAGAGTAGCCATTAGCTGGTTTCATTACACTGGGCTGTACCTGATGTATAAAACTGCACTTTTCGTGTTTATCTTAGCTTTTGCTTTTGTCTGCCCCTGCGTGTATGAGTGTGCATTTGGTCTGAAAACTGGAATATCTGTTGAGTGACTTTTTTTAGCAGCCATTGTAGATAGAGTTCATGCTGTATCAGCTTTTTGGTTGGATAAACTCACTGTGTATGTGTTCTGCCTGAGACAGCAGGGGTCAACACAGTTAGAGGAGCTACTGTCACCTCTGTTTGTTGAGTCCTATTTGCTTACATGTGAAAATGGCACACGTTTCTTTAGAAATGATGGGAGCTGCTTATTTGATTTTTTTTTTTTACCTAGCCACATTGGTGCTTATGTTTTATTGTTTGTGAATAGAATTTTTTTTTTGAATATATTGGGATTGATACAGGTTAAGACAGCAAACGTTTCTAATTCTGGTTGTATAGAATTCAGGCTCCACTTTCTTTGGATATGCTTGTGAAGCTGTTGAATGAATGTTGTCCCACATCACAGATGTCTTTATTTTGAAACTGTGGTTGAGAAGCGGGAACTCTCCAGCTTCCAGTCTCCCCTGATCATTTCTGGCATTTATGTGCCAGCACAACAATAAATGAGAGGAGTTGCATCAATGAGCCAATTTTTTTATTGACTGTATGTATTGTGATAAAATGACTCATCTACCTGCCTTTTGAAAATGTTTTCATATTTAATGCACTGATGAACCAGTATCATCTTTGTAAATTATACACATTTTTGCAATCAATAAAACAAGTTCAACAGAAACTTAATGAAACGTGTCAGGCCGTTAAAGTACTGTTTATTTTAACGGGCCGAGTCCTGTCTTGAACAGGTCTGCCCTCTAGGTGGCGCCGTCGTGTTCTTGGACATCATTACATCGTCGATGAAGTGAAACCACAACTGCTGTAACGGTAGTAGCTATGGCGTCGACAGCGGCGACCCGAACGGCAGTTGGCGCTGCAAAAGTTGTTAAACCGATTTTTAGCCGAGACCTGGACGAAGCAAAGCGCAGAGTTCGGGAGCTGTACCGAGCCTGGTACCGAGAGATACCTCAAACTGGTACGTCGGTGCACTGAGGCGGTTTATGTGCGTGTAAAAAGCAGCGTTAGTGTCAAGGTCGTCTCTATGAGGCGATTCAGTATGACTGGAATTAGCTGCTAGCAAACAGCAACATAGTTCTGGACAGATTCTGTAGACGCTTCTGGTCTCATGAACATTACATGTCCTGGTGACGTTTAAGAGAAATGTTGAGATGGTCATAACTTACAAGCTGATTGAATGATGAGAAAACCACGAAGTCCGAGTGTTTCTACCTAGTGATTTTCAACTAGCTGTTCCATTTGTACGTAAAACAAAATGTAGCTCTCGGCCAATAGGTGTAAAAATAGTGATACCGTATTAAAAATAAATGCACCTTTCTGTAGCAGGAACGCGTTACTGGTCAGTTAACTTGGCGTGTTTTCACACTTTTTGCGGCCCGTCCTTGATCAGATAGCTGAGGATGTTTCTGAGTCGGCCCCGTAGCGAACAGCGTCTCCTGCTAACAGTGTAGCATTTAGCTCCAGTTCATACTGGAGAAGCTGGAACTGGGGCTGGTTGAGTCCTGACGGGATGGAAGCTCAGTCTAAACACCTCGCTGTCTTACCAGGTGGAAAAACAAAGCCAACAAATCAGTGAAAGCCTGATACAACTTTTCCTCTGTGTTGTCTAAAAAATATTACAAACATAAATGGTCCTCTAACTGAGAGATTGGTTTAGTTCTTTTCTGAGAGGTGTATTGAATAGCAGCAGCCTCATCCTTTAAAATAACAAATAAAACAATTTAAAATGATTTCCTGGATGAAGTTGACGCCATTGACACCCACTTTGATTGTATTTTCTCCTCTACAGTTGAACTGTTTCAGCTGGACATCACGGAGCGTCAGGGGCGAGACAAAGTGAGGGAGATGTTTGACAGGAACAAGCACATCACCGACCCCCGTGTGATTGACCTATTAGTCGTTAAGGTAAAAAACAGCTGTGCACTCATTTGTGAACTGCATCAACAGAAACCATTTTAACTGAGTGTTTGCTCTGAGAAGTGCTGCTGGATCCAGAAATGCCTCCTCAGCTCAATGCATGTAGAAGTAGGCAGTACGCTGTGTAGTCTCACTTATGATTAGTGTTTTTAAGTGCATGTTATTTAATCCTCAGGGGAAAATGGAACTCCAGGAAACGATCCACGTCTGGAAGCAGAGGACCCATATAATGCGCTATTTCCATGAGACTGAGGAAGCTCGTCCCACTGACTTCCTGTCCAAATTCTATCAGGGTCATGACCCATGAACTGTGCAGCAATCTGCTGACCTCCAGCCCAATGTGCTTGTGTCCAGTGTGACAGATGTTGCCCTTTACTGTAAATACATGCTTAACACTCGTCCTTAAAGTTGTCTTTTATTCAGAGGTTTGCTGGTGTGATCCTCAAGGAGCAGTTCAACCAAAACATGCTATGATTTATCTCAGATGGGGTTGCGAACACTTTCTTTAATGAAGCTAATCAGAACATCTTATGAACAGCACTCTTCTAAAGAGGAAAATAAGGTTTATTGACATTTTGAATTAACTGTCCCTTTAAGATTGTTTAGAAGAACTGTGACTCGTATTTTCTGCATGTGGAAATGCTGTACAGAAGACAGGCAGCACATCCAAGGCACCTTTTGTTCCCGGTTTCCCCAGTGAGACTCAGTCCAGGTCCTTTCACTGACATGTAGAGGTTTATACTGTGTTAGATTTGTTCAGTTTCCTCTATAGGTTATACTTGGTTTTTGTGGTTCACTCAAAAGTCAGGACAGAGTAAGAATACACCAACATTACACTTGGTTACTGTGTGATCTGTTTTAAATGAGCCCCCAAAATCCAGAGAGGATTTTACAAGTGTTATTCCGTTTATTAAGACTGCATGCAAATACAGTACAATACAAGCAGCTTGGGGCAGCCCCATCTCAGTGTTGACATACAGCAAAAACCCTGAATCCAGTGCACACACAGGCGACTTAACACAGCAGGGGGGTCTCCAGGAAGGCTGTTATCTGCTGACAGGCTCTTCCCAGGGGTCCTGACAGAACAAGGTGGACTGTGGAGGGAAGAGGGGGTTTTTCATCATTCAACATTTTCATCTACAATAATTATTTTTCATCCCATTTCTACATCCTGTTCTATGCAGCACAGTGTTTTCTTGCGTTAACGATGAGTTCATAACAGTATGTTTAAGTTTAATTGGAGTTAGAGGAAAGAATGGACTAAGCTGAACCAGAACTTTGTCAGTAAAGGGTTGTCATCCATCCTGGTTGGGGGCAGGTGCCCCCAGATGTCTAGCCTGGTCTACAGCTGCCCCCGTGCACAGACACACAGTGTGTGGGTGTCACACACCCCACCACTAACACAACTAGCAGCTCGTCCAAGGCTGACGTGCACTGTATGTGTGAGAAAGGCTGCGGTGGTGTGTTGACTTCACACCAGAATGGATTAAGGCAGCACTCCTCCCTCCAAACACACCCAGTTTGTTCTGTGCCACAACTCACAGTGAAGCCCCCAACGGAAGCCGGTGATACCTGACACCCAGGAATCCAACAGACCTCTCAGTCATCGTCGTCGTCGTCCTCGGGGACGAAGATGTCGTGCTCCTCCAGCAGCGCCGCGAAGTTCTTGCTGATCTGAGTCCCCAAGTACAAGAAGGGCACCACTACCACGGCGATCCGGACAAGGCCGAAGGGGGTCTGCTCCCCGGTGTCACACATCCCACCACAGAGACAACTAGGTTAGTTCATGTCAAGCAGCTCGTCCAAGGCTGACGTGCACTGTATGTGTGAGAAAGACTGCGGTGGTGTGTTGACTCTTCACACCAGCACGGATGAAGGTAGCGCGCCTCCCTAGTCTCCTGGTGTTTGCACATCACCCTAAGCTGCACTCACCTTCTTAGGCTGGGGCAGGATGGCACCGGATGAGCTGCACACAGCTGTCCGGCACAGTGTCACGATCCTCCCTGGACCACAGGACGGGCTCAGCGGTGAGGAGCGTGCGTTTGTGAGGAGCGACAGCCGGGCCAGGCGACCGAGGGCCGACGCCATGTTGACAGCGTTTGATGCAGCGATACTGCGGAGCGCAATGATTTTAGAAGAGGCAACAGCGCCCCCCTGCGCCACTAGATCGACTCACCGCTCCTGTCCACCAAGTCGTTGTGCCCTCTCCAACCACCAGGTGGCGGTAATGACTAACTGCTGCTTGGCATTTCTACACAAGAAGCCAAAATACACTCGGACAAGCCTTATACGGGTGGGAGTTGTGCTTTAATCGAAGCGTTTTCAAACATTGTTGACAAGAGAAAAGATTGTTGACAAGAGAAAGGATTGATGGCGGTGACTAAGTGGTTGCTTTTGCTGATTAGAGTCCAGTTTCTTTGCCCTTCTCCGTTAGTGTCCCGGATGTTTTGGAGAAAGCCACCCGGAAACCCTCCCCACAGGTTATCTGTGGGACTCGAGTGTATGTAAAATTAGGCTTAAGTTAAGTTTAGACAGTTGTGGTGCTCGATCGCTTCATTTCAGTTATTTCGAGCAAATGTTCCTGTTCCCAGTCAGAAGTCAGTTTTCCTTGTGTCCTGGTCCTTCAGTATGATACACAGGTGGCATCTGCACAGTTTCAGTGACCACAATAAAGTAAGTGATGCACGTTGCAGTGTTGTAAAGAAGTAATTTTCATGCTTGCTCCTGCGGTTTATATTTAAATGCCATGACCTTTAGCAGCCAGATTGGTTGATTCATCCAAACACATCAGAACAGAAATAGAATAAATCAATAAATACTGTACAGCATAAAATATTTACACTCTCTGTGCTACTGAACGTGGTGATCAGCACTATTAGTGGCTTCATTACAAAAAGCATTTCGCTCTGGGATGACAACACATGAATATAGTGACTTTGGAAGAGTTATTCAGAAGTGACTCCTGTTGGTAACATACTGAAATGTTCTTTCACCTTCCCTGTCAGTAATGAGCCACAGCACAGAGCTACACAATCATAAACATTCAGCTACATTTGTCAGACCTCCCTATATTACACAATTTGTTTACAGGAATGAAACCTTTCTCGAGTAACAAATGAATTTCATACAGAGTGAAGCTAACATGACGTGAGCAAAGGAAAATTCTTAGTTCATGTCTCCTTGGTGCAGAGCTCTCCACAGCTTGCCCCTTTCATCCTGACACGAGTCCCTGCAGTCGCACCGCCTTGTGTGGCAGCAGCGTTGGCTCGTCACTGAACAAAAAGACAGTTAGAAGAGACTACTAATAGACTGTTACTACTGAGTGCCTGATCTGACCACGGGTATCTCACACCTGACGTTTGAAGGACAGATGCCTGAAGAACTTGTTGACCTCGAAAACGCCAGGCTTTACAGCTCCCCCGTTTTCCTCCAGTCTGACTATTTGTGCTTTGGTGATTACAGCTCTGAGGCTCATGCGCTTGACGATCCGGGCGATGGGCTTCGAATCAGTTGTGGGCCGGGAGGATACGGTGATGTAGGAGGCGTCTTTCTGATGCTCCTGATAACTCACTGCCACGAGACAAAGCAGGAGAAAGAGAAGGTTTTAGAACGCACGTACTATTTAATGTGTAATTACTCTTTTTCTCATTTTCAAGACCACTTGATAATCTACAGAGGCACTTTATATCCACAAAAGTAAAAGAAGATTGGAGCCCTTATCGCATAATTCTGTTTGTCATTATTACAAGATAAGTTTCTTTTTCTTTGCAAAAGCAAAATTCAACTGCAATAACCAGACACTTGGCTGGTGGATGATTACGGTTCTACAGATTATATTCTTTAAAGCTGTTCTGCAGTATTCTGCAGCTCCAGTACATTTTGATTTTTACCTGCCGAGATAACTGCCGTGTCTGTGGTGCTGGTGAGCTCCAGCAGGATTGTGGGATATGCAGGGTGTAGCAGAAAGAGTTTTCTGATGAGAGGCTCAGCTGCAGCAGCACCCGGTGCCCCCTACACAACCACAGTGGACAGTTTGGTGCCTTTGTTTCATTTATAGCTCCAAGAAGTAAAATAAGCTGTGAACATGATTCAGGCAGAGCAGGCTCTTTGCAGACTCACAGTTGTCCTGGTAACATTCTTCTGCACTTTGATTGGTTCACTGGCCCAGAAGAGGAAAACCGATTGGCCAGTCAAGGTGGAGACAACTGACGCTTCCAAAACAAGACCAGGACACACAAACTCTGCAGACCAGAGAAGGCGCCCGCTGTCCCCATCAATGACCTGCGCCTGACAGACAGAGAAGAGGGCGAAACCAGCACAGTTAGAGCCAACATGGAGGTCAGCTATCTGTGTTCAGTCAAGACAGCACCGGCACTTTCTGTGACAACTCAATAATGCCAAGTTTAACCAGAGTTTTTGAAACACAGTGAATGAAAGCTCAGCCCACTTTACCTCCATGACGCCGTTTGCTGAATGCTGAAAGAAGAGATCGAGGATCCCGTCGGCACTGAAGTGTCCCAAGGCTGGTTGGCTGTGACAGGAAAGGAGACACTTTAAGGAAATTTTGCAAAGTTCATCCATGTAACTTTACAGTTCAAACAACTGAAATGTACCAGCAGTGAAGTGCAGAGCTTTACCTGTGAATGGGCTCTGAGCTGAAGGTCCATTTCTTACGTATGTCCCTCTGTTTGATCACTGAGACTTTGCTGGTGCCATACACCAGCACCCAGTCACTTTTGGAGGCACTGAAGTTAGAGACCATGTCCAGGTTGTTGCGGTTGTTACCAAAACCAGCCACAAGGGGGTGCAGGAACTCCACGCTCTCAGATCCTCTAGGGAGACGATAAGAGTCGAACAACGGTGATTATTTTAGATTCTAGAAATCAACCTTCCTTGCAAGAGAAAAGGACATTTCTTAATGTTTTAATCTACTGGAAAGTTATATAAGACAATTAATTTGTTTACTGCTTAAAGTGCATTTATTAAAAAAAAGTACTAAAATATTTGTCACTTTTCAATTATGATTAACAAGTTGAGCATTTTCTGTTTAACTCCGCTGCGATAAATAGCTAAATAAAAGCCGTCACTCAGTAGCTGGATTATCGCACTTGTCTCCTACAAACCAGCTGGTCAATTGTGATTTGTTGTACTTTAACTCCCCCGTGTGAGTTCTGTGGTCACAGCTGCTTCCAGACCAGCTCCTCCCAGGCCCTGTGGGACTCTCACCAGACTGCCCAGCCACCACGCTGTGACTCCTCTGTCATACTGGCTTTGTTGTAAATGGTGTAAATAGTAATCATCTTATGTTATCAAGCTCCTAGGATTGTTGTAGGGGTGGGGGTAGCATCTTTTGGACAGGAGCTTAGCTAACAGGTAAGCTTAGGTACTTTTGTTTGCCTTAGTTTTGGATGGGTGGATTTCATTTCGCCTGTTTTGTTTATTGTTTTGCTGAACTTACTCTGACGTTGTTTATTCTTTTTTGGAAAGTCTTCATTTCTGTCACTGTTGAGTGCTGTAATGACAGGAGTCTCATTTTCCTCAGATTTCCCCTGAGCTGGGGTGTAACAGGGTTCAACAGACAAAGAAGGGTCTGTAAAGTGTAACCAGAGCCATGCCTCAGTCACACACCTGTAAATGTGTATGAAGGAGGAAGAGTTGGTTCTTAGCTTCTCCCACCCTGGATCCTTCATTTGAAGAGCCTGAGGTACGGGCGTTTGGCCAGTGGCTCGAATGTAGATATCACACAGAGAGATGGCCTGGACGTTACCTGAGGAAACAGACGGTGAAGTGGTCGTATAAAACGGCAGCTAAAATAATCTGTATGTGATGTAAATGACCTGAATGAGTCACATTATAATGGTAACAACACTTGTTAGAGTAATGTCTCAGGGCTGTACACTGCTGATTTATGTCTTTACCCAGTCCAAAGAGGACGTAGTATGCCCCTTTTGGTGTCTGATGCAGCAAAGGACCAATCAGCTTTCCCTGCCCGGTGAAGCTGAAAGACACCGGACGTCCGATCTGTGTCCCCGTCAGCCCCGAGACCAAGGTCAGGGAGAGGTCCAAAGTCTGAAAATGAATACGGCAGACATAGGTGTGTAGGCAGTGAATGCAAAGGCCTGGAAAATGATCAGTAAACCTTCCATTACACTGATGACACTGACCTCCTTTAGCTGGAGTAAATATCACGGCAACTGGCATTTTTTACTATGCCCCTCTAGGGATTTTAACTACTGTACAATCACACCGTCTCTGCACATCGGAGTGTTCAACTGAGAAGAATCTTGCTTAGTAAATGTATCCATCATCCCTTTAAATGGCATCTGGCAACATTAGAACAACCACGAGTACATATGACCATAAACTACCACCAAACATCTCCAGTCAGTAGATCTGAGCTGAAATATGATGACAAAGTTTATGACATTACACTGAGTGAAAGTGTGTCATCAAGACCCCTGGGGGGGGATTTAGTGTAACATCAATACCCAGAAAGTTTCTTGACTTTTTAACAACGATGTGTGGTCACCCCAGTGCCACAAAATGTCACATTGCATATCACAATGGGCTGCAGCTGGATCCTCTCTACCTGATGGATGAAGTGCCATCTTCCTTCTGGATGTGTTAGCATCTAAAGCTAACCTGTTTGTTTTGGTAGCATTAGCCACCTAGCATGGTCAGGATTTTACCTTTGTGTTGAATTAATAGGATTTTAATTTGAGACTAATTGGAGGTTTGTGTCACATCAGCAGTAACCAGAGCGTTCTGACACGTTTACTGTTAGCCAGCTAACGCTAGCATCAGACTGGAGCCTGCTTATTGTACAGTTTGTCCCAACCAGGCATCCGTAGTAGACAGGAGGGGTAGAGAGTAGCCAGGAGTGGTTTTTGGTGTGAGTTTGTTTTGAGTCTCACTAGACTCTGTAGTGACTGAAAAGACATTGAGTAACTTTAATGTTTGCTCACAAAAGGAACAGAAGGAGGTGGCTGACAGTTGTATGAGCTGTTTACAAGCGTTTGGCCACACCTGCTGAAATTCCACATTATTGTTTATTTTTGACGGTAAATACAAGCGCACTTCCATACGAGTGTGGCCGTACCTCATCTGTGGGCAGGGTGGCTATGAGCAGATCTGGGACCGAGTCGCCCTGGAGGTCTGGGAGCAACACGGCCTGGGATTCAATGTTCTTGAGCTGGAGCGATGACAGATTCTTCCCTGAGGAATGACAGCAAAGCTTGTGACCTTGTCTGAAACACTTGACGTGGGCGGCCCTTATTGACTTTTGCAAACCAAGACAACTGGCCACTATGACTTTGCCCAGTAGAATCATATCCTGAGACAACAGACTATGTCAAATACAGAAAGCTCATTTAAGTGGTTATGAAGTATTTTAAATGACTCATTACTTTTAAACCCACATGAAAAGGACTGAAACGTATCTTCTGACCTGTGGTGCCGTTGACTGCCATGAGGATGGATTTGCTGATGAGGAGACACACGGGTGACGACTGGGTGCTGTACTGCAGACCACACTGGATGTACATGACAGACTCTCTCATGACTTTCCTCCACAGCACCTGGCCGCTGGCTGCAGACAGCACCACCACAGCATAGACTGGGAAACCAAGGAAACAACACAGCATTAACACAAAACAGCGAAGGTTAAAGAAGGAACAGGAGGACTAGGTCTTAAAGTGAATTCAGGTTCAGGGGTACCAGGATTAGATGAGAAAGTCAGTACAAATAGTAGCAAAGGCACAAAGACACTACAGAGGAACACAGAGGACGGTGACACATGATAAGAATATCCTGGCGCCCTAGTCGCCCTCTCTTCTTATCTGAAGTGGCCCTGCAGCTTGTCTGAATCAGCAGGGCACAACACGCCTTTTCAAGGAAGCCCAACATACTTTTGCTCCTTTGTGTGGGATGGGTGTCATTGGTCCATTCAGTAACACCAAGAAACATGTCCTCCACTGAATCACCATCGACATCCCACAGCGCCAGTGCAGGTGGGGTGACACCTAGACAGAGGAAGCAAAACAGAATGAAAACCACCCACCAGCAGAGTCTTATGCTGCATTTCCACTACGGGACCCTAACCAGAGGTACACCCCGTACGTCCCTCAACCATCACCAAGCATAGCCTCCGACTATCCTGCTTTGTTATTCCACTGTATTTTCTCTCTGTCGGTCTCTGTTTAGAGGAGGGAGGGGCTGCTCCCCTCTCACAGGCAGTCAAGCTGTGTGTTTACACACAGTTCTTGTAATGCTAATGCTTGAGGTGAGAAGGCGCAGACACCATCAGTGACTGCTCTGTGCACACACACACCCTCCCCCTTGTGGTCCTGGTACTACTATTTTAGTATTACCTCCTGAAGGGTGATGAAATTTAGCTCCCAGAATGAACCTCCAAAGCAGGCGCACCGCAAGCGCCTGCAGAGAGTGGTAAAGACTGCAGAGAAAATCACCAGGATTCCACTGCCCTCTCTGCAGAACATTTACCACCACAGGGTGCATAGGAAGGCTGCCTCCATCCTCAAAGATCCCACCCACCCCCAGCACAGACTGTTCATACCCCTACCCTCCGGTCGGAGGCTCAGGAGTGTGAAATACAGGACCTCTAGACTGAAAAACTCTTTCTTTCTCTCAGCCATCAGACTCCTAAACAGCTGACTCAGGATCTACCTCATGTAATTCCATCTGTACTGTTTACATACTCATTTTTCACATGCACAATTGCACAATCACTGCTGAGTATTTACACTCCACAGCTCCCACGTAGCATATATTCTCTCTGCATTATATTGTGTTGTATTTTTATTTGCTCCCTTCACTTGCTGCTACAAAGTGCCTTAGATTTGTGTTACTGCCTATTTAGATTTGTTATTGCTCATCTACTTTATATTTCACTTGTATTGTGTGGCATTCATGTGGACGGCAAAGTAAGAATTTCATTGTACAGGGAAACACGTTTCCTAACTGTGCATATGACAAATAAACCTTTGACCTTGACCTTTGATCATAGTGGAAACACAGAACCTGTGATGTTACTCGTGACACGTTTCACTAGATTCCTATAATGGAGAAACCCCTTTACTCAGGGTCTGAGTCTACTAGCTGCTTTTACAAGTCTCACTGTGAGGTGGATTTGAAATGCTAAAAGTGCATTTTGCTTTTGGAATAGCACAAGACATAAAAAGCACAGGGTTTACAAAGTTTCCTAACATTAACAATCAAACTCCTTGGCTGAACTGTGACAGTACATTTTATATATTACTGATAAATATGTGGGTGGCCATTAAAGACGCAGTACTGTTTGTATGTACTTCATAGTGTGTGCAGCAGCAGACTGTGTGGGTGGTAGAATAATGCTGACAAACCTGTGTAATTACACTTGACTAATTGAAGAGTGCATGTCAGACCAAAGAGACTCCTGAGTCAGTCCTTATAAGCTATAAGTGGTGGCAACACTGTGATAAATACAATAATAATAGAAAACACTAAAATATAGCTGCAGTCATTTTCACCTCCAGCATCTTCCAGTGCTCTCTCCCACTGCAGCGTCCGTTCCAGCTCACCCTTCCTGCAGGGGATCAGGAATGCACACAGCAGCACAAGCACGGCGGCGCAGACCAGTGGCACCAGGAAGAACATGCTCCGGACAGCATTCTTCATCATCTTCTTCTTTTCCTCTGCATCTGCTCTGTGCACCCCCCGCCCTGCACCGCTCAGGGACCCCCCTCTGTCCTTCCCTGCTCTGTCCCTGCCCGAGTCCCTGTGGCTCCAGTACTGCATTCCTTTCATGTGGTCTCTGTCCTTCCTGGATTTGCTGGGGAGTCGCTCCCTCCATTCGTCCTCCTCATCCTCCCCCTCCCCCTGTGCTTCATCTTTGGGCCCCAGAGGTCTTCCAGACCTGCCACCCCGCAGCTTTGAGTGGCCCATTCCATCCCTACCAAGGCCATTTCGGGGGTAGTTGAGCACCAGGTCATCTTCTTCACTCTCTTCGCTGTCTGCCTGGGTGAGGGGGTCGTACTCCCCCAGCTCAGAGCCCTTCTTCCCTGCAGGGACACACACACACACAACACTGGTGAGGATCAACTGTCTTGTGTGTGACTGTTGTATTGTGATGCTCTGCTGATATATTGTTGATACACAATTAGGTTTGGGCACCATATTCAACAGTTGGTTAATTATTTAAATGAAACCCTGCAGCAAACAGACATTACATTTAACCTTGCAAATTAAAAAGTAGCAGCATGTTTATGATCCACCCACTGATGTTCAGTGTAGTCCAGCTCGGTGGGTCACACTGGGTTTGGCCTCTTTTCACTTTCACTTTTAATGACTGTTGTAGGACACTCACATTCCAGATATTGCTAAATGTTCACGAATGCATTTTACTCAAGTACTGCCTGTTAGTACTCAAACATCCCACGTTTACACCGACAGTTCCATCTAATTATAGCAATTACACAGAGAGTATTTTATAAATATCCACTGCTGGGAAGCTACTTTCTAAGCAAGTTACCAATTACTTGATACTGAGAGAAGTTGAGAAATCTAGTTTAGTTGACTAAAGCTACAGAGAAAAAGTTGGTTAGTTCAAACTATTTTATTTCTAAACAGCGTGCAACAACTTCTCTGAACAATTTGTCAATAGGTAGCACTGACCAATACTTATGACTAACTGACACCTAATGTATTCAAGCTTAGTTTTACAAATTCAGATTCAAAACATTAAAAACTGCAGCCAAATATTTGTGGCGGGTGAGTTGACTGTCTACCCCAGAGACCTACACTTGTCCTAAACCAGATGATTCCATCTGGGCTTTTCAGAAATACAAAACTATAAGGAATATTATATTTTGTTGTAAAAAAAAACAAAATTACATTTCCTTTTATGGCCCCACATTGTTTGTAGTTAGCAAAAAGTTCTTTAGCTACTTGGACTGCTATGCACATATGAACTACCAACAAGCAAAATGTAGTTAAAGTGCTAGTTTGATTACATGTATTTCAATGCTAAATATATTTTGTCCACAGAATCATCCTATGCTGTAGTTTACCATAATACAGAAGGCAATAAAAGACTAAAGTCACGTTTCATCTCATCTATAACATATTTATACTACAACTAGGGCCTACTAATTACAATAATAAATCTTATACAGACTACGGATTGTTTTGGTCTTTACAGGCTTAAAATATAGCAAAATAACAGCAATAATACATCAACAAATATACATAAGTGGGTATAATGTGTATCATATTTGTGTTGACTCCAGTGTGTTGGCTTGGCATCAGCTAGCAGCTAGCTAAGGTGCAGCGCACAGCCCTGGCGCCTTAATAAAAAGAAGGCAGCTCTACATACACAGAACACAATATCCATCCTATATAGCTTCCTTTGGAAACACAATATCCACAATATCCATCCTATATAGCTTCCAATATCCATCCTATATAGCTTCCTTTGGAAACCGTGTCCATCCGTGTGGGATGGTATAGAGCGGATATGCCACCTGATTTGTGACTAATCTGACTGAGGTGCATTCAAAGAGCTGGGGGCCACCGCAGACCACTCATTCCTTGGGGCTCAGTAAATTATCCGCTATCTTTCGTCACATTATTTGTCACGTAGAAAAATACGTGTAGCGCATCTTACCAGGCAGTTTGAGGGCACGGGACAAAGCTGCAGCCATTTCTCTTCTCCTCTCCGAAGTAGCGGGGACGAATGGCTCAAAAAGACCCGACACAGCCGAATGGATCAGCGTAGAACCGCATAGAGGAGAGAGTTACGACAGCGAGACTGCTCGAAAATCAGAACCCTAAAGGTGGGAGTTACGACAGCGTTGGATCACGTGTGGCTTCCCGGATGTTGACTGATTTAGATCCACTGTTTCCATATGGAAGCAGGATTTAACAGTAACCTCTACTTTTGATAACTTGTGCAGCCTTGCACATGAATTATGTATATGCTAATTGAATGGTGGGTGTTTTAAATATTAAATATTAATATCACTGATTAATTAAGGAAGAAACATTAAACATAGGCTACAACTTTCATTGACAGCTAGAATCACATCTTGTTGTAATCTTTCTGGATTGAATACGGATCCATCCATTATATTAATAATATGAATACAGCCCATCCACTCAGATATAGTGATGTTTTTGTCAGTCCATTTTAACAAATAATTTACTAAAAATTCCCTCTATAGCCTACTGTTAAAATATTAATATTGTACTCTCTGGGCAAAACACTAATCCTGTATGTGAAATATCCTACCGCTCCAGTCTGTTTAGCTGGTTATGTGTCAGTGTGCTGGATGGTGAGGATCCCTAATGCTGTAAAACATAACGGCAACATACTGAGATAGTTATTGCTAAATAGTTACTGCTCTCGCTAATCTGGTTTTCAGGTTCCCGGGTGCATCCTGGGATTTGGAGTTTTTCTTTCATGCCCTGCAACCGAAATATAGACTATAAGAATGTAGGCTTCTTCTTTCGACTACCACCGATCCGGTATGGACACCGGTTAATATTTGATTTGGGACAGGTTTTATGGATGCTCTTCCTAACGCAACCCTCTCTATTTATCTGGGCTTGGGACTGGCACAGAAGTCACTGGCTTGCAACCCCTGTGGCTAAATTAATAAATAATTAAAAAATTATATATACATAATCAACTTAAATCCACTGTTTTTAAATTTTGTTTTTAAGGTTCACATGTATTCTGTCAGTCAGTGAAGCATTTGTAATTGCATGAATGTGAACCTGTATGAAAGATGCTATACAAATAAAGCTTTTATTGATTGATTACATCAGAGACATATGTTGTACTTTTGAAGCTATATTTTGTAATGTTGTACATTGTGAAATGAACAAGAAACGTACACAAGTTGCGCTAAAATAATTGTATATATGTTTCAGAGGTTTAAGTTACACTTAATAAACATTTTACAAGTCTTTGAAGCTTTTTTTTTCAACACTTAAGGGAATCAGGGAAGGTCCTAGTCTCACGAGGCATCTCGCAAAGTAGGCAAGTCACCTCAACAAGCAGACCTGTACCCTGTCAAAAATTGTTCTCGAAATTTGAACGAGGACACGGGCGTCACCCCGCATCGTTATTTTCCTTACTCATCAGTTTAAGGCATAAACATTAACTGGCTGAAGGCTGCTATACTTGCAGTGTCCAGACATTCTTTGTTAGGGTGCCACATTTGGTTCACTGGCACCAGTTCAGGTTAGTTTGTAGTAACGGCAGTAGGTATTATAATAAAACACAGTTTGTTAAAAAAACATGTTAAACGTGTTTGTTGACAATAAACAATGTGTGTTGCACAAAATCAATGTGCTTGTTATTGTCGCAAAGGTTCATGGGTACCGAGGCATGTAAGTGTAGGCCTTTTGTCCAGAGTAGTCGATTGCAGATTATTATATTAACGGGAGAGTGCCTACGTGATAATTAGTGTAGCCTGTGTTTGAATGTTACATCGGCATACAAACACGTGTAATTATGAGACACATAATAAAGGAAAAAGATAAACACTAACTATGGAATTTCAAGTAAACGCTTGTTTTTATTTTGGCCCAACTTAGTTTCCGTAACCCTAGCTGAACTATTTCGTGCACGCATGCGCTGTGAGTCAGTTTGAGAAAATGGCAGACGTCACTTTGGACGAAGTGATACGACAGCGCGGTATTAATGTCAAGGCACCAGCTAAACGGTAATAAAACTATTATTGCAATTACAGATGTTCGCTTATTAAGGACGCGTTGACGCATAATAATATTTCTAAAAGCACAACGTGACGCGAGAGCTCTTGTTATCAAGTTGAGTAAGGTAACGCTAGTCCATTACAGCTAAGGCTAAGCAAAGTAACTGTTAGCTGCAGGCCTTTAAGTCCATTCATCGTTAAACTAGTCAAATATGTGTTAGATATCCGACCAAGCGTGTTTTATACCAAGCCATCTTTAGTAGTAGCGACAACATTTCAACTTGAAAACCTGCCTCCAGTTGTTTTATGTGTGTAAGTTAGCTTCACTCGTCAGGCTCAACGCTAACGTTAGCAGGCAAGCCAATATTTATGTTGGCCTCTAAGTATTTTTTGTTTCCACTTACTACAAAAATGTGCTCGCTGGAAATATCTTGTATGTAAAATGTCTTAATACTGTCGCCCATTTCAGTGTCTTGGAAAGTACAGGAGAAATTGTATTGTCATATTTTCTGTTGAAATTTAATAATTTTGTAGGACAGTCTCTAAATGCATTTTGTGGTGTGCAGCAAAAATGATTAATTACCAATATGTTAACTAAATGAGCAATACTAATAAAAGTGTTGCTGGTGAACTATTTACTGTTTAAAAATGTGAAACGGTGCATTATCAACCTAATTCTAATGGGTATTATAGTGCCAGTGTTGTAGTTAAAGAAAGTTTGGTGTTTCTCTCAGGGCTACGTTTGGACGGGGTGCAGGAGGGGTTGGTAAGACTTTTGATGCCCGGCAGAAGATTGGAGTTAATGATGTCAGACAGCGGCTTGGAGGAGGAACAGGTAACAGTGTTTTCTAGACAAATACATGTGCCAAGATCAACAAGGCCTTATGTTCATTGAGTGTTGTGCATTGGAGATTAGAATTAAGTTCTCCTTCAATCTTCTGCTTGTCTCCTCTCAGGATTTCAGGTGAAAGATGCCAGAGAAAAGCTGGGTCAGACAGATGCTCGCTTTAAAATCCGGGGCAGGGGAGGAGCAGGGGGATTGCAGGATGCTCGTCAGATGATTAACTCACGCAAACAGGGGCAGAATCAGCTCAGCGTGTCTGCACAGATCACGCAGAAGACAGCAGCAACACATCAACTACAGAGCCAGACACTAGTGCCACAGATACAGATAAACACCAACAACAGCACTGGTGGTGTGAAAGCAAGGCAGTTTGCCCCTAATGTACAAGGACTGGGTGTGAGGGCCAGCACAACGCCACAGCTGAGCAATAATAAGAGAATGGTAGATGCTCGTGATAGGCTGAGCCTCAAGAGGAGCATTGGAGGGACACAGACACAGGTGGCTACTGCACTGCCCCTAAAAATAACCAAGACCATTCAGGTGAGGTTAAAACTAATTGGTTTGTCTGTGAAAGGTCATTGACAGCTTCCATGTTTGTTGACGTACTGAACTGAATATCGATATTGATGTGCAATCTATTAAGTGATGCTTCTTTTTACAGCAAAGTCCACTAGGGATGTCAGGTGGCATACGTGCAGCTACACAGGTCGAGTGATTTTTCTTTGCACGTTTCATTTGACAGGCTGAGAATAATTTTTGTGTTTATGAGAAAATGCTAGGTTTCCCTTGTGTAATGTTGTACTAAGTAGACTATTTTGTCTCCCACAGCCTGTGACAAATGAACATGATGACACCCTTAGTAAACAAATAAAGATCACTACTACAAACAATTTGCTACAGTCACGGGTAGGAGCTGCTTCTTGACAACTGACCTGAACTCACATAATGTTGGATTCAACACAGAGGTCCAGTGTCTTTTCCATATGAAATTGAATCTGACCTTTTCATTCCTCTGTTTCATACAGTCTGGTTCAGTGGGTTTGACGTTCTCCATGTCAGCCCCGATAACCAAGGTGGTTAAAAACGATACTTACACAGCCCCACGTCCTCCTGTCCCAGTGGCCCCCGCTCGGCCCAGCACCAGCGTGGCTGCTAACCGGTCCTCAGCTGCAGCCTTACAAGCCTGTCACCAGGACCCTCCAGCAAAGCCCAGCTGAAACCAGCACCATGGCTCCTGCTCCCCCTCAGGTACTGTAGATATTTTGTGATGGAATCTGTAGCTGAGTTTGCATTTGTCCTTCCTTTTGTAGCTTGTTTCCTCCATGTAATATTCAGTGTCATTTCCATTTTTGTTGGTTACAGAGTCAGTAACATTTCTGTTTTAGCCTACTGAGAGAAAATGAACTAATGTAGGCTAGGTTGCAAACACTTTATAGATCAGGTCTAGAAAGGCATGTAAATGTTTTAATGATTTGTATTGTTTGTTTCCCCCACACTTCAAGTTTAATCCATTCACGTAATAAAGTAAGGTCAATGTTATTTTATATAGCTCAGTATCATAACCCAGACGTTTGCCTCTATTGGCTTTAAAATCTGTGCAACATAAGACAACCTCTGTTGCTACACCATTGTATGGGGTTAGGAAAAACTCTGCAAATTAATGTTCAATGGAAAATGGGGGGACGAGAGGGAGGTCGCAGGACAGCTGATGGTCTAGCACAGAGAGCCTGAGAGAAAAGAGAGGAGATGAAGCAGGAAACAGGAAGTGAGAGAGAACTTAGATGCTCAGTGTTACCTTTTCTCCTACTATACTTCCTTCTTCACTCACTCGTCTCCAGTGAAATTGCTGGTCAGAAACTGTGTTTATCCCAGTAATATCATTTCCATCTTGACGTGGTCAAGATGTTTGGCAGAGTAATCACAACACAATATGTGAACATATTTTTTTTATGATGGCTGTTTTCATTGCGTATGTTTCACCATGTGCCGTTTGTGGTATTTCTACCCAGCCTACTTTCAGTCCTTTGGAGGGAACCAAAATAACGGTGAACAACCTGCATCCCCGGGTCACAGAGGAAGACATAGTTGTGAGTAGTTCACACCGTTTGCTTTGGTTTCTATTTGGTTTTGTGTTGAGTTCTGCTGTGTCATGTTGACTCATGTATGTATATATATTTGTCCACAGGAGCTGTTCTGTGTGTGTGGTGCCTTGAAGCGAGCGCGGCTGGTGAAGATGGGTGTGGCTGAAGTGGTGTTTGTCCGTAAAGAGGACGCTGTGAGCGCATACAGGAAGTACAACAACCGCTGCCTGGACGGTGAGTGCTAGCTTATTACAGTAGTAGTAGTAGTAGCACACTGAGGACATCTTGGTTTTGAGTGAAGCACAGCCTGGTTGGATGTACTTGGTGTCACACAGGCTGCCGTTAACCCAAGTGATGAGCTTCGGGTGTTTCTACATATCATGGTCTCTCTCTCTTCTTCTTCTTGCCCACCCCCAGGCCAACCCATGAAGTGTAACCTTCATATTCAGGGAAATGTCATCACTTCGGATCAGCCCATTCTATTGTAAGTGAGCCTGCAGGGCTTCATTCCTTCATTTCAAATTAAGCTATAGTTGACTGTTTACATGGACATACTTTAGTTTGCTTTTATCTTGAGTAGCCAACACTGATGTTAACCATTTACAGTCACAAGAAAAAGTCATGGCCCTGTTGACATTTTCCTGGTATTCTGCATAAATTGTTCCAGTCACAAATTCTTTGGTATTCTCGTGTTTATTTCTTTTGTTTGCATTGGAACAACACAAAGAAACAGAACAAAAGTGAAATCTGACACATCCCACACAGAACTCCAAAAATGGACCAGACAGAATTATTGACACCTTTTCAAAATCATCAGAAATAGTTATTTCAAGCATGTGATGCTCCTTTAATTTGTAATGAAATTCACCTATGGGACCCTGTGTTCTTTTTTTTTTTTTTAATCCATTTGTTCTTGAATTGTGACACCACTTTCTCTTGTGTGCTCCTCTGCAGGAGGCTCAGTGACAGTCCAGGCACAGGCAGCAGTACAAAGAAAGACAGTCTGCCCCCCTCTTTGTCTCGCCCTGCTGGACAGAGAGCCTCATCTCAGCCCACCCCGGAGGTGGACCCCCAGACCATCCTGAAAGCTTTGTTCAAGTCCACTGCACAGTCCACCCCCACTACTGAGTCCCCCAGCTCACAGGCCACTGCCTTTCGCATTAAGATTTAGCTTGACTCATGTGAATACACTGTCTGTCCATAAACACATTACTGGGGTCCCATTGTTTCCATCTTGACAGCAGCTGATCAACATCTCGTATGAAACTGGTTTTTACATATTTGATATACATGACTACTCTGAAGGTGAAATTCATGGATATGCAGCATCCTGGTTTTGGTTTTGTGGCATCCAAGTGTTTCCTGTGTCTGTCTAAACTGGACCAGTGGACAGAAATATCATAAGTAGTTTTTTTTTTTAATCCAGTGTGTAGAGGGGGTGCCCAGTCAAGCTGGATGTGTAAGGATTTTTTTTCTTTTTCATTAATTCATTATCAGCCCAGCTTTATGATTAGCTCCACTTGTCCCTGGTTCCCCAAAAAATGAGAAGAGGCAAAATAAAGATCAAAAATTTTTTAATTAACAGACAGAGCAGCATTGTCACTGACAGATCCGGTATTGCTAAGGCCCTCACGTGCACAAAAGTGTTCATTTATATTGTCTGTACCTCTTTCTGGATAGTTTGAGTGTGTACAGACCGCAGCAGAAGCTATGTAATACAGTAGATACCATCTGTATGGAGCACAGATCTTTAACCCAAGGAGAGAGGTCTTACAAGCCAAAATAAAATAATTCCACTTGGGTGAGTGAGTCAGCGATGGGCTGAAACGGTTTGGTTTGGTTTTACCATTCTTGTCACAGCCAGATTTTTGTGTGCTTCATTTGTGGCTTGTCTAGTTTTGACATAGTATATGGTTCATTATTTTTACTGTACCTTACACTCAATTTATATTAAAGGTATGTAAAGTACTCTCTTGCTTTCTTGTTACGTGAGACAGGAGAGGTCAGATCTGTCAATGAAATGTCATGATTAAATATTTAGCTTTTTAGGTATCTGAGACTTATCTTTCCTGTCTGTGATACTATGGTCATAGTACATTTTTCTACAAGTCAGTGTCCTATATATGCAGCACTAGGCTTTCTGAAAATGTAAGTTTAGTAATAAAATGACGCCTCTTCTGAAGTTCTTTCACAGTTTGTCCTAATTTTCACATCTGCTTTTATTCATCTAGTTTTGCTATCAAATGGCTACATCTTTTATATAAGATTAAATGACAGCATTTAGAAAGTCTTAAAACAGAGGAAAAAAGAGATGGTACTGTAACCCTTGCTCATCTGGTGGATGTGTTGGGTCTTCGGACCAGTATCCAGGCTCAAAAGGAGAGGTTAATGAAAATGATTGGAGCTAAGCAGTAGGGTAACATGGAAAAATGATTATTCAACAATTCAACCCAAATGATCCAAAACATCACATCTGAACAGTTCTCTTTGAAATCAGTACTCAACAACTTAACTGATAAGAAAGTTAGGTGAGACAAATATGATGCATCAACCCAGTCCCTTTTGAATGAGGATCCTAATTGCTTATGAAGAAAAAATGGTCCCTTTAAGGGTAATCCAGATCCTGCTATATCCCTCAGTTCAAGTTTGTGAGTTTATACCGTCATCCCGCATGCGTAAGTCAATCTGTCACAATATAGTCCCAGGCCCGTTATAACAGTCAAACCAGTCAATTCTCCACTCCGTATCAAGTTATGAAACTAAGTGGGCCCACCGCACAGGTGCACCCTCTCCAGAAGGTTGAAGGAAACATGGGCTCCTTCTTGGTTCATCCCATATCTTGGTCCCACGACGGCTCGCCATCTCCTTCGTCAAGGAGAAAGAACATTCAAATCGAAGATCCAAATCCAGTGAGTTCAGGTGGTTCTAAAAACCCAACCAAGACAATCTAAAATGACTTATCTCCTCAATAAAACAAGGGTCCACAAACTGAAATCTCTCCCAAAGCTTCACTTCAACTCTCCGATCAACCGGGTCTACTTCACACATTGGTAGCAACTACTCAAGTGTCGTGTTTTTCCCACTTTCTGCAGCACTGTCTTTTTCTCTTTTTTTTCAGAACTAAGAAACTCCTCAACAGGAACCACTTCAAAGTACTACAAAAATAAAATATGCTGCCAAAATAAGAGTTTGCTGGCAATAGTATAATGTGAACAATTTACTTCCACTTGGCTACAGTACCATGATATGCTTATATTACAACTTTGGTAGAATGTGCTTAAGTAATAAATTCAGTTGCCGGTTTATGTGGTACACCAGCTGCACCCCAACACCTGTCCGAAACAGTTTGCATGCAAATTGAATATTGTCACTGTGATGGAGGATTTCTTGCAGGACTTTTGGATTAGACTGACTTAGTTCAAGATAGGTGTTCCTAATAAACCGACAACTGAGTTTGTGCGTCATTTGTTACACGCTGTGGCATATGTTCCGTGTTAGCGCACAGACAGTGCTGATTGTGAACTGTAGGCTACTGCATTATTCAGAGCACTGCTTCTGTTATTTAGCCTAGCTTCACGATAGAAGTGGGGATTTGGGGTGGACAAAATAGCATCGTGAGACTGTACACTAAGTGGAAGGAAGGAGGCCGAGGATTAGTGAGTGTCAGAGCCACTATCCAAGATCCATGAATACATCAGGCAGATGGCCCTGAGTGATGACCTGTTTAGTGAACCCCTAGGCAGCAGAAACCAGAGGAACTAGG